ATTTGCAGTCATCAGCCGACATTTGAAGCAAAACAATCAGGTAAAAAAAAAAAAGCCGCGTCGCCGCACCACTTTTTGGGCAAGCTCCATACCAGAAACCGGAGACTTTTTTTTTTTGGCCTTATCACCGTTATACTACGAAGCGCAAAAAAAGTGAGGTGTACGTGTGTTTTCACATGTTGTTCACGAATTGATCGTGGGCGGCCGGGCGCGGCAAAGCCGCCTGTCCACGAAGCCTGATTTTAAACGATGTGTGGATAACACAAAAGAATTTCAGGGTCACAACAATCTAACTGCCAAGTTGGTACTTTGGACCTGTCGGTCACGATCTTGTAAAAAATTGGCTCTAAGCCACCTGACTATAAAACCGTCAGTCATAATGCAATGGCCAGCTGAATTCTTTCTTTGGTGTACAAAGTCAGTGCTGTAAACCCAAAGTAGGAAAGGTAGGGCATATCGGAGTGTTTCGAAGAAAGCAGGCCAGGTCAATCGTAAAAATATGATTATTGTGCTCTTGGAATGCTAGCTTAATAACCCAGCGACGATCCCCTTAAGACAGACAAAGCAGACGTTCCGAACGACGAAGCTAACCGGTTCTCCTCTGAACCGGCCCACAAACTGACACACAGAATTTGCTATCAAATGGTTTCACCACACATATTGGCGCTCATCAGCCAGGCGAAGCATCCATTCGAAAAGTTATACTTATTTTTTTTTTTTTTTCACAAACTGACCCTAAATTTCCTTCTGAAAATTCGAACTTGGGGATTTTCCAGAAACATTATATGACAAGTGCTGTACTTGATATGAAATATATAAGCATTTTATAAAGCTAAGCTTCCGTATCGAAGTTCAAAAACAAAAGAGTGTCGCAGACGGGGGAGGGGAGGGGCTGGTACCATCGTCGATGGGGCGCTGTTCAAAACCGACAATTAATTATGCACACAAAGGGCCAATATAATGGTGCTTTTCAGGGCGATACATGTGCGAAATTCTTAAAAAGGCACCCAAAACGGCAGATGCCACCAAAAAGGACACCTATTCGTTTTTGAAAAGGGCACTTGTTCAGAAAATAGAGCACTTCGTGAAAAAGGGCACTCTTTACAAATTATTTGGGGGGGGGGGGGGTAAGCCCGTTGAAAAAGGGCATTTGAATGGAGAAAGGCAGTCTTTACAAAATAATGGGGGGGGGTAAATACCCCCTCCCCCCTCCGCTGTATGGCTACACCTATGTTATAAATTCAGGCGCGGTTCTACGGGGGGGCTAGGGGGGGCTGTAGCCCCCCAAAATTTTGTCTAGGCCCCCAAAATAAATTCCTTAAAAAAAAAAATTGCATTAGCAAAAAGAAGGATTGTGATGTACATGCAAACGGTCTCCCCAAAGAAGAAATAGCCGTGACAAGGGTGCATTAGTTAATATAGTGTGAATGATCTTAGGATTTAATTGGCGCTCCCCATTGAAAATATGGAAGTTCATCATATTTAATTTATGCAAACTGTTCAACAGGTTGAGAACCATCATATTCAAGTAATCTCGATTTAAAATAGCGCCACCGCCAGCAGCGATGACACCGTGCAATGGAAGTTCTATTCACCGTGCAATGGAACTTCCATTGCACTGTGCGCTGCGCGCCGCGCGCCGCGCGCGCGCTGTGCGTTGGGACGAATAATTCAATAACATGTGATCAATGATCCACCAATCAGATGACGGGGATTTATTCAGGCGAGGTGACAGATGAACTGTTCCATTCCACGAGCCGAAGCCGAGTGGAATGGAACATTTCATCTGTCATCGAATGAAATTATTCTTTCCATTGCACGAACGTGAAACATTCATTATTTGTTTTATAATTATAACACCTGAATAAATCCTTGTCATCTGATTGGTTGACCTTTAATAGCCAATTTATTCAGGTTAAAAACTGTTTAAAAGTGCGACAAGTTCATCATATCTATATTAATGCAAACTGTTCGACAGGTTAAGAACAATCATATTCAATTTATCTCGATTTAAAACAGCGCCACCACCAGCAGCAGCGACACCGTGCAATGGAAGTTCTATTCACAGTGCAATAGAACTTCCAATAGATCAATAGATCACCTCGGGAGGCTACACTACTTCATTATTTGTATAATAATACTTAGATTCTGCTTGGTTTTAATATTTTAAATTATTTAAATCTGAACACAATTAAAATAACCTTCAATTTCAATACCAAATTGTTGGGAAATGTATTTCTCTCTTTCAAACCACCCTTTCACGAAATGTTTGAAGCCAACTCTGTTGCGGCCATTTGCGGCTCTCTTGGAAACAATACGCGCTACGCGCAACGCGCACTCCAGCATGCATTTGCACACAACTACTGCGCCATGGGTATAGACCGCTTGCAGATGCGTTCGATAATCGACGCGCGAAGGCGCGCGACGCCATGTTGTGGGACAAGCGTATATCTATCTATGCACATTTTGTCCCATGACATGGCGTCGTGCACCTTCGCGCGTCAATTATCGATCGCGTCTGCAAGCGGTCTATAGCACTTTGGTTGCTATACGGGTATAGTACTTTTGGCCGTGCACTGAAAGATAGCAAAAATAGAAAGTAGCATGTGGCTCGCTCTCAGCCAATCAAGACACAGAATCTGTGGGTGAGGTGTTAATGTTGTAATTGGCAATATGCTATATCATTAAAAGTGGGACGGAGATATTTGTAACCATGTTTAGATCAGCTCTCGTATTTCTAAAGAGTGAACACTCAGTCAATTCGAGTGACGATTCACTCCCACTGACTGAAACTCTGAAAGGCACCAGACGTACAGGGTGAGTAAAACAAAAACGAAACCCAAATGTCGGGACTATTGTTTTAGTGAAGTTCCGCATGCAGCACTTTCAAAATCTAGGATGTGGAAGCCCAATTCATAAGCTTTCTTTTAGTACAAGAATCATTCAAATCACTCATGTACTTTTCAAATTACGGAATTTTAAACACAATCACCGTTTTAAAGTTCTGTCCACGGATCACAAAAAAGGTGTGTGTTCTTTCAGCAAAACGAAAACAATTCACACACACTGTTATCACTATATGATTTGTCTTCGTTTTGCTGAAAAACACTTATCTTTTTGTGATCCGTGGACAGAACTTTAAAACGGTGGTTGTGTTTACAATTCCGTAACTTAAAAATTACATGAGTGATTTGAATGATTCTTGTACTAAAAGAAAGCGAATTGGACTTTCATATCCTAGATTTTAAAAGTGCTGCATGGAGAAGTTCACTAAAACAACGGTCCTGACATTTATGTTTCGGGTTTTTTTACTCACCCATTATAGAGTGAAATCATTCAATCGAATAATTGCAATGGATTGGTTCTTTTTTTTCCAGAGTACTTCAATCTAAAGTTGGAGTGGCTTTCACTCTAAATCATGTGGTCCCTAGTGTCACTCTTTGGTTCCGGCTTTATTGCTGGCTTCAGAAGAAGAGATTTTTTTAACTAATCAAAATACTCTAAATCTTATCATTAAACATAATAATACAAATGGACGAGAGAAAGACTGAGCACATGCCCCGAAGTAGGCCGAAAACGAAGGCAAAGCCCACGTTCGGTAAAATACCGATAGAAATACAAGTAAATGTACATGCAGTAGTCATGTTGTGTCCATGCTAAGTAAATTTGACCAGAATTACGTAACGACATCCGACTGCAGTTCCGAATTTAGCACACAAAATGAGCATTTTTGGCATTATAAAAATAGCTTTAAAAAAGCTAGATGTTTGGCGTTTGTTTTTGTGGCAAAAGCATGATGGGATGGGGCACTATACATTGTTTCAGTTCAATTATGAAAAATCGATGTAAAAACAGCAGAAATGATGACATTTCGACACATATTTCAGTACAGTTGAGAAGAAAACTCGCTGAGAATTCTTGTACGGGAAAAAAAAAAAATTTATAACGGAGAACAAAGAAAAATGGTAGCATGGGCGTCGCGGGGGGGGGGCAAGGGGGGCACTTGCCCCACCCCCCCCCCCTGGAAAAGCAAAAAAAAAAAAGAAAAAAAAAGGAAGAAAAAAAAAAGAAGAAAAAAAAGAAAAAGAGGCGCGAGGACAAAGTGGTGTAAATTTAATGAGTTGGGGGGGGGAGGAATGTCCCTGCCCCCCCCCTCTAAAACTGATGAATCGAGAATGTGTTGAGAAATACAGGCATTTTTTGGCAAAATAAATTTTGCCCCCCTCTAGAAAAAATCCTGGCGACGCCCATGAATGGTAGCGAACCAAACGGTGTCGTGATGGGGATCACTCATCATCAGCCCCATCATCCAAAAATCAAGAGTTGCTTATTCCATCAGAAAAACGGTATGGACCAAATTCGATCAAGAAGTAACCCTAATAACTACATTATATCACCGTTATACAACAGAGCGCAATAAGTGAGGTGTACGTGTGTTTTCACATGTTGTTCACGAATTGATCGTGGGCGGCCGGCGCGGCAAAGCCGCCTGCCCACGAAGCCTAATTTTAAACGATGTGTGGGTAACATCATTGCCGGTGATTAGGTTAACTGTACCCATTACAATGTACAGCAGGGAGCCAGAACCATATGATTCAGGGGTGAAATATTAATCGGAGGGTTTGAGGGTCACTGCAGGCCCCAGTATGGTATATGTTTGTATAGATTGACCTACAGGCACTTCTAAAAGACCAATTTCTTTTGTTCAATGTAGACCCTTCACACCTTTACCTCAGGAATTCCAAATTCCAAAAGAAAGGGATTCATTTAAAAATCCTTAAAGCAGGAAAATCCTGACAAACAATTCTGAAATCAGGACGCGTCACCACTCTTGTTTACAATACGGACAAAAATGCCGGTCAAGCTGCCCATAAATGCGATGTCCCTGAACATCGATGTGTTTTGGAGACAAGCATAAATTATCAACTGTGGCCACTGTGCACAAGCCATCCATAGCCATAGAGAATAATATTGTGTACAATCAACAATAAAAAAAAAAGTAATACAATTCTACAGACATTTTTTAATATACATCATTTAAAAAAAGTTGAGATTCCAATATTTACTTCATTTCATACATTATACGTAATTAAGCACCATAAAAATACTGTTAACAGCTTTATATCCGTATAATGCCGTTAGGTTAAATGGATACAAACTTTGCAATGGGTCTGGGTTATACCCAGAAATCCTCTCGAGCATTTATACATGTACATGGTTCAATGATTCAGTATGAAGGAAATATAACTTCCAAGTTATGGAAGGTGCATGGCTTTGTAAAATGTAGGTATGGGTGATAAATTAAAAAAGGTGATGTGAAAAACCGTTCTGAAGATGAGCTGACAACCAACACTAGTCCATGCTATAAACCACAAAGAACCTCACATGCTGTCGCAATATCCCCCCATTAGTGGTGTCGGAGGGTAAGGCCAAGAATAAAACCCACATTTAGGATCAAATTTAGGCATGCTAAATAACTGTTTACATACAGTGAAGGTTGGACAGTGTGAAGTGCTGTGGACAGGAAGTCTACTAGTTGGCCTTCATTCAACTCCATGTTGAACTTCGCGATCTATTCTCAAAGCCATAAGTGATCCTAAAGTTTCAGCCTGGCCAGGCAAGAATGGTGTATTACAAAGCATTTTATCACTCAGTCCCCTCTAACAATGCATAATATGCCAGTAATTGAGTCATGTACAATGTTTTTTTGTTCTCACCTCAGGAAGCATTTCTTTGCTTACCATAGGAAGCCAATATGGAAATATTATTATACTCATTTTGTAAATTGACAGACTGAGCTTGATTAATTCCACAATCCTGTGTACAGTTAAAATACCCTGCTCATACAGTCAATTAAAAAATTCCGAACAGCAGTCTCAAGTGCATGATACTGATCGTTTCAGACAATAATTAGATTGACAAACTGCTTAGAGCTAGCATTATTCTGAAGTCTCCTATAATCAAAATGGTTTATTTCATCAACATGGGTGGAAACCCACATCACAACCTGATGACATGAAGGGTTCCACATGGACAAAGCAACTTTGCTTGCACCCAGCATCCACATACCAAACACAGGCTGATTATATAAAGCACCCTCTTGCTCTATGATACAAACAGACCGCTGTTTGGAGTCGTTCAGGTTCACACATTCCCGAATTAGTTATGAATACAACCAGAATAAACCAAGAATTGAAATTGGTTCCCGAATCACCCCAACAATTTTGAACATGTTCAAATGTATCGGGGTGCTTCCTGATCTTTAACGATCTTTCACCGAAGTAACAGAATCATCCCGAGGCAGTCAAGAACCCTCCCTGATTTACTCAAGAATTGCTATTCGTTGCGATTTGGCTTAAAAATCAGGAAGGTGTGAACCGAGCATTATGCTTGACAACTATGATAGCCAAAATGCCTGAGCAACTGGACTCAAAAGAGCACACAATGGGAACAACAGAGAAGATATAATGATCACAAACCATAGATGAAATGAACCCTAGTAATATAATATACACCATGGTAACATTTGTAAGGTTGTGCAGTGTATGAATCCTAAACCCTGGTAAAGGTAAAACTCCAATTTGTAGGATCGCCTTCGCATCATTTCAGAATACAAAAAAGTAAGTAAAAATTTAGACAAGAGGTACCACAGATAAAAAAAAAAAAAATTTCAAGTGACTTTCAGATTAAATGCGGACCCAGCATTTGATCCATCTACTGCCCAGCTGGCATCAAGAGACAAATCAAAAACAAACATCAGCAGAAACACTGCCTTCCAGAGCTGCCATCAAGTCAATCACAAGTTCAATCAAAAGTCATGTTACAAGCAACAGCAGAACAATGACAAACTAGACGAATGGTGTGTTTGTAATTAACAAGCACAGAGCTGATTCGATTTTGGAAAAATTATCATGTTAGGATTTTTTGTAAAGGAATTAGCTTTTGTAGATATACAAATTTTATCCCAATCACATGTCGGGACTAGGAGAATGTGCTTGTTACATCCGGGTTATCGTTATGACCGAGCTCGTTATAACGGGAGTCGACTGTACTTCCATAGATATTAAATCAGGCACATTTAATGTGACATCATGTGACACGTGAAGACGTCATCATGACGTCATTTCAAATTTTACCCGTAACACGTCCCTGTCTATATTGTAACATACAAAGTTTCGTCCCAATTGGATGGGGGTCCGCTCATAAGTCCGACGCCTCAAAGCTCCGACGCCTCGTAGGTCCGACAAATTAAATGCCTCGTTTTTTTCCGACGTCGGACTTATGAGGCGTCGGACCTATGAGGCGGAATAAATAAATGTTATGCCTCATAAGTCCGGCGCCTCAGAAGTCTGAAATTTCGGACTTATGAGGCGTCGGACCTATGAGGCGTCGGACTTATGATACGGCCCCATTGGATGTGTAGTTGTGGAGATGTAAGGCTTTAAATTATGCACATTAATGGGAGTCACATGACATGTGATGTTATCATGACGTCACTCCAATTTCACCTAAAACACGTCCCTGAGTACAACTTTTAAAAATGCACACCAAGTTTCATTCCAATCTGAGTTGTACTTCCGAAGATAAAGGGCCTGGGAAAAATGCATCTTTAATATGACGTCACCTGGCACATTATGACGTCATCATGATGAAAATCTTCGCTGACCATCTTCGACTGGTGGTCTACGTGTGCCAAGTATTACATTGATAAGATTGATAAAAGTGCTTAAGTTGTAGGGAAGAAAAAGGTGTACAAAACCTATAGAGAAAAAGTCTGAAAAAAAGGGGAAAACAAGAGTTGTTTTTGCCATTTATAAACCTTGTGAATTGACTTGAGACCGGATGACTTGTGACCGACTTGTGATGACTTGTGGTTGTGAATATTCTGCTGCCTTGATCTCTGGATTGAAAGTCATGGACTGACCAGCATGTCATAAAGATTCTTGCTTGAGAAAGTCTGAAAGAGTCAATTAAGCTGAAATATGAGGACTGCTGCTAATGTTTGTACTTACTTGTGTGCCAAGCCAACTGACTAGAGGGACAACAATAAATGTGCAACACAGTGTAGAGTACCCAATTAAATCTCCTAGCCAACTTCCTGCTCCCGTTCCTCACATGTGCCACACTGCCAGACTCAAATTATTTCCAGGGAAAAGTCTTCATGAAAAGTATATGTCTCAGCACACTACAACATTTTCTCCTTGGATTACTGTCAGTCCATCTTTGGTAATGAAAATATTGTCAAAAACTCTATGCGTAGTGTAACAATGATGCCATCTCATTTGACACCAGTTTAGTACTGAAGTCCTGTTTCAGCTTTCTGTCAGTGCCTCATTTAGCCACGCAGGTATAGGTTGGTCAATGCTCGACAAGTAAGCCAACAGCTGAACGTTGAAACCCTGGTAGAAGTGTCGGAGGTAAATCTCCATTTGGGCATCCATGGGAGGGTAGCTGCGACCTTTGCTCTTGCCCAAGCAGCGTGTGCGACCCTTCCTGAGGGCAAGGCAGTAAAATCCCTTCTTGTCGTCGTAACTGTTGACGAATGGGAAAACAAAAAGAGAAAACATGGAAAGGGCTTATAAACAGATGTGTCAATATCTGAGCCAGTAAAGCTAGCATCTCAAAACATGGAACATTAGTGTTACCAATGGAACACTCCTTATTCCCAAGGGAACAATGCAGTGTTCCCAGTCGATTTCACAAAATGTTAAGGACAAAGGAGTTGTCCAGACATCCTTAATACGCCCTTTTGGGCTGTAACTGGAAAGATCATTAAAAAGTATTGTATAATCATGCACACAACTATACCTTAAAAATTTGCATTTTTCGTGTAATTATTACATGAAGGCATTTTGGTTAACAAATGTCAGTCTTTTGGAATGCTAGTCTTGATTCCAGTCACACATGTTTTTTTTTTCAAAAATGTTGCTCAATTTTAAGACACACAAGCTCTTATTCATTTGTGACCTGATTTCCCCCAGTGATTTGTCTCTTGCTTGGTAAACATTATTTGTGGTGTCTTTTTGATTTACTGAACAATTACACTAATATTCATATTACACGTTACTCTTAATACTTACACAATTTTATCAGTGAAGTCAATAAATGCATTTATCGGTAGAAATGTTTGGATTTTCACCATGGCAACCACTGGATCAGCTCTCAACAAGTCACCATCTAACACCATCAACTGTCTCAAAAGAAACAAAAAATATCTGAATGAAGGACACGACAAAAGTCCAGCCAGCAATTCAACTTGGCTTTGCCCTTCATGTTTGTACCATTGCTTAATCGTATGAGGTGGTACAACACACTGATCAAATAAGGCAGATAAGGTTAATAAGGTTCTGACCAAGCGAAAATTCAGTGTGACATTATAACATCCCAGCGACACGTCGCAACCCGAGTTACGACGGGTAACACATCTCGCGACGCTTTGTACGATCCATTTCATGAAACTTGCAATGTGCTGAACACAATGAATTAGCCTGAAATATTGCAGTTAAAATTTCAAAGTAGCTATACAGTCCGCTGTATTTTTGTTTCCTTTAAAACTGCATCATACGTCCGCCATTTTGTTTAACGTTTTTCGAGAGGAGATCTGATGACTCTTTGTTGAATATCAGATGACTCTTTACTGTACGTTGAATAAATACACATAACAGTCAACCGTGTTGTGCTATAAATACACCTCAATTTACGATGCATTTTGTGAAATGAATCGCAGGACGCGTCGCAGCGCTACGATGCATCGTAAGTTACCATGAGTTTCCTGAAATCAGGAGCTGGGCAACTGGCCTGTGGTTATGCAACATCTGACTGCCTACAAAGAGAATATTCTTTCTCTTTTCAGACATGAAAAATCCTTAACTTCATCAGCTGTTTTGCCTTTTATCTCCAGCTCCAGCCTTAGATGAACAAAAGGAAAAAAGAGCAAGTAACTATCACTTCCATATCGCCAACTTGCGAAAGGTTCAAGTGAAAAGTGTGTGTCATTGGTAGTAGCTACACACTTCAAAGGACTCAGGGACATCCTCAGCTAAAATGCCTAGGCAGTTAGGAATAAATTATTCAATGTTCCTGTAGCAGATTATAAACTGTAATCTTCCGAACTTACAATCCTGAATCTGAAGTTGTGGAAAAGTAGTGATTTCTGAAATGGCTATATACAAAATGAAGAGTTTTGTCAATTTTAATTTGCATGCACTAGAGATGAAAACAATAAAATAACTGCCTGGAGTGAAAAGCTGCCAGCCTGTCTTTCTTATTCCATCTGACCTGGTTTGGTGGGTAGTACTGTAGCCATCTCTGCAGGTGCTGGATGTACTTGCCGGGATCCAGGCAACGACTCCTCAGTAAAGTGACTGGCCTTGGGGCTTCAGGGCCTGACGTTAGAATCTCGTAAAACGTGTGGTTCAGGCTGGCTGGATTTCCATGGGCCCTCTCATGCTGTTATATAGCAAAAACACTCAAATGACTCTGGAGTGACTAGGTCATCCCACAGGAATTATCTTAGCAATAAAAGTGATCCGCACTACAGTCCTCCAACAATTCTTTGCCTCCAAAACACCATCATTATTCACAGTCAAATTCCAACTTATATCAGTGGGAGCAAAAAAGTGAAAACTGCCAAAATACAAGTGTGCACACAATAATTACGTGCAACCTTTTTTTTACAACATTTGTACGCTATTTAGTATTTTTCAACAATTATTGTCAACGTTTTCATGACAAATATCCTTTGTGAAGTCATCTTTCCATCATATGCCACTGCATATTTACATTGTGTCAATGTTTCATTCCGGTACCCGCTGCTATATTTGATTCGAACCAGCCAGCCGACCCCAATGTCTGCGCTAGTAAGCAGGAGGTTGTGGGTTCGGGTCCCATCCGAGTGATTTTTTTCTCATCACTCGGGGGCAACACTGACTATACAGTGTTTATAAAATACGTTGGTGACCAAAAGGGCCAGACCCAATATTGAATTTACATCATCCCGATGCAAATTCCATCTTATGACCCACCTGTCAGTTTGTAAATATAATTGATAACTACAACGATAGTTTCAATAATCACTCATTTACCTTGTTAGAAAATTCATTTTGACACTATTTATATCAACAAGAATTGCAAACAAAAGAGTTTTATGTGTACAATTCTAAAGGTTTTTGGCTCAGAAATGTGTTGGGGTGCTCTTGTAGGCAGCCTTCATGTCCATGAAGTCATTTTTGATTGATTGAATAGAGAGATCGTACTGAATAAAAGACACAACAACTGATGAATCAAATGATACACTAATTTTTGTGTGCTTACATACCTGGTACCAGGAATGAGCTCTTTTGGCTGGATCAATCAATATTGCGATGAGCTTGGCCTTTGGAAGCAGCCAGTGCATCCTACGCGGTGCATACACATTGTCAAAGTACGTCGCACTCTTCTCAAACAATAAGTCAGTCGAGGTATTGTCAACTTGTGGGAAGAAATTCAAGTACCTTTAAAAGGAAGGTGGAAGAAAATAAACAATATTTCTGAAGGGGATTTGGGTCAGGGTCATTTATTGGGTAGAAGTTGTTACGGTGATACTTTATTGAGACAAACAACTAATGACCTTATTTCCCATGGTTCTTTGTTAAACAAACCTTTCACTGTTTGGAAATGTGCTCTTCTCTGCCTAAGCACTTCACATGGGATTGCAGATAAAGTAAAAAGAATGTCATTTCCTGTAATTCTGCAATTGAAATATTAATATATTTGGATAATGTCACTCACCACTCCAGTCCTTTGTAATAGTTTTTGGAGTTTGAGAAAAACTGGACTTCCTCGAAGGTCTCCTGGCTGGGAAGGTTGCTCATGATATTGGGATGAAGTGACAGGAACGTATAGAGTGCAGTGGTTCCTGAATGTAGCCAAACAAACACGATACCTGTAAGTCCACCTTGTATCTAAAAATACTGAAATCAATGTTGCAAGTGCAATTATTTCTGGTTCAGAAAGTTGAAGATTTGCACTATGAACATTTGAATTGGAGAGCTTTGCATTGTAAAAGGTTGTTTGGGGAAAAATGTATGGGTACACAATAGACCTTATGCATTACGATGGAGCTAGAGGGCAGTGGTTTGATTTGTCCCAGATAAGCATGAGTAAGCGTTTTGTGCTTTCATTGTAACAATGCATGCACAATGAGGTCTATAAGGTTCCCAATCCCTACACTATTCATTCTGATAGGGGCACAACCAGTCTGGCCTGTGAAAACATTATTGTTGTCAGGTGATAAACAGTTTGAAATTTGTCAAACAATGATTCCACAGCTAAACGTGGGCTGATTTTTTCTTATTAGAAAAATAGCAATTCTAAAAATAAAACTACTTTTCTGGGTAAAACTCGTAAATAGCACAGACAGTACGTTGTTAACATTTAAAAAAACAACAGGACTCTCTTTTGTGTAACATTTGACAAATGGAACTACTTTTCTTCCTTAGGACAATCTAAACTCAAATCTAAAACAATTTCTCAGTGGTTGCCATGATCTTTTTGGCCTTCGGTTTGAGTGCATGCATGAGCGTATGTGGAAAATTTTGATAGTTTATATTACAATAGTACAAAGGGCGCTGATATTTGTGTGTACATACTTTAAGCTGATCATTACATACTTATAGTGAAAATTGTTTAAATGTTTAACCAGCAGAAAAATGTAAACATCAAGTCACAGCCCTAATAAACAACTCAAGCTTATAATTGGCCTTCTCGAATTGTCTTCAAGTCACTTTATAAAGAGATTTTTCACTTTAAAAGAATGGCAAAATTGTTCAAAGACTGAAGGTGTTCAGTTATTCATGGCCAAATAATGACGGACTGTGTCGTGGCTGGATGAATGTGTTCATACACAGTTAATGCAAAAAGCCTATTAATGATTATGTGAAAACATAATTCAGTTCACAAAATAACATTTTGCTTGAAACACAAGTCTTGACAAACACCTGTTTTCTGTGGTCCAATCACCAGGAAGCTTGGAAGTCGATTGCAGTTGTGCTTTTCAGGAAGTATTTCTAAGTGTCGTTTGTCATAGCATGGGTTCTATTGAACAGGAAGACAAGAAAAAGACAAAGTGGATTAAGTACACTACACAGAAACTAAGGTCAATCACTTCCTTCCGATGGAGAAGACATTTTTTTTGGTAGGGGGGAGGCAAAAGTCATTAGAGATTAAAAAATCACACAATGACATGTGATATTCTAGGCTTGTCTTTCCTATTTCATGGCCCTACTAAATGATTTAAGCAAAAACACAAAAAAATGGCACTAATTGTGGCAGAAAGTGTGCAAAATCTTCCTTGGGTATTTCATCAAGGCATAGATGTACAAGCAAGCCTTTGCACATTCATGGGTGATTATTGTTTCATCACTTTGCCTATTTAATGTTTTTCAAGTGAAATGGATGTTTTTACATAATAATGTACCACCAATAGAATTGTTCCCTAATCACTTACTGTCCAAACAGGGTCTTGTTCTTCAGGAAACATATCAAAATATTTGATGGCCAAATCCAAGGGTGATTCAGCCTTGAGTTTGAGGTTGGTCCACTTCTGCACAAAGTTGACGACATTGTCAAACGTGTACAATGCCAACCGATCACTGCCGTAGTTGGTCATGTGTGTCATGTACACGTTGATCTGCACAAAAACAAGAATGAAACTATTCTATTTACAAACACAAAACAGTTTGTCAACAATGGTCAACAATTTTTCTCCAATTAATATTAAAGGGCCCATACTATGTATTTTTTTATGCAGTTCTTGAAAATACACCATTAAAATCAGGTTAAATGGGATGCCCACTTAAACAGATTTTAAATTTTTGTTTGGCCATTTTCAAGGGCATTCCGGTGCATTTTTGGTTTTGGTTCCAATACGAATTTCCATATTCATGAGCAAAAGTGTGATGTCATTTCAGGCAGAATCTTCAATATTACCGTTATTTCAGCACAGAATTTGTACATTTTGCTGTCACAAATTGTCTGTTCTTTGGTGATTCACTGTTGTGTCAGTACATGGCTGTAAGCCAATGAGCAAACTTTTCTCACAGATCTTTTCAATGAGCAAGTTTTTGGGTTCACAATTTGAACAGAAAACCCCAAAACTGAACCGTGCCCTCCTGAAACGACATCGTAGCAACAGCGCCCTCAGTTGTCAGGAAAAGCATGGAAATTGTCTAATGTTTAAAGAAGTGCACTTTCAATAAAATTAATCAATGAGGGATGTCAAATTGTTTTCATACATTTCAGGGAGAAAGTTGCACAAAATTTATTCGAAAGAAATATTCATTTCATGAACCCTTTAACCCTAGTCAATAAACAATGTGGGCATGAAAGGGTTAAGTGTCTTAAAAGATGACACTTTCAAAACTGTTGTTTGTTCAATTACTTTAATAGCCACCCACAATGTTTAGTTTAGATTTGCTGCCAATAGTTGTGTGCATCAAAGTCTTACTGGATTATTAACAATGGTTTGAAACAGCTCTCCTCCATAGATACTGCTGTCTAATCTCTCCCTACCACCTGGATATTGCTTCATGATGATAGTATGAGTGAACAAACCACACGTCTGTCTAGGAAGCACCTACAAAAAAAAAAGCATATTCATGTATATATACGTATAAATATATTTGTTAAGAATCATTATCACAAAAGTTATTTTCAATTAATTTCTAAAATGTTAAACATTAAAATAAGTTCATGTGTACAATGGACCCAGTTCAGTTTCCTTTCAGAAAACGAGCACTTACCTGTACATGTAGATTCTTTGGCATTGTCATAATTTAATTTGCCTTAGAAAATATTTTGAGTGTTAACAAGTTTTTTGGTCATCACTTGTATTTCCAAGATATTTGTATTCTGTGACTCTCTCAATCTCTTGGCCCTGGATGCCAATCTCTGACATCTACATGTACAAGTCCTCCCACCATTCCAAAGGCCTAACCTGGATGACGACACAATCACATGGCTGGAGACGATAGATCTTCCCATGTAATATTGCTGATGAAGAATCAAACAATCAACAACCGCCATGGATAACAACAGTTCTGAGCCCACCAATTTGCAAAATTATTAATTTTCACAAGGATAACAACTTGAAAAGTCCCATCATTTGAAGAAATTTTACCAGTATAAACTGAAGTGTCATTAGCATACCTAATCACAGGGCAAGGCATAAGAATCCTATAACCACTAGTGTACAGAGAGAACATAACAGGGGACAGCACACAGCCCTGGGGAGCTCCAGTATTTATGTCAATTGTATATGAAAAAGAATTGGAGAATCTAACTTTCTGTGCATGAGAGTTAAACACGAATCTGTCCATCTACAGACATATCTTTTTACCAGTTTGCGTCGGAGGACGTGATAACACGCACTAGCTGTTTTTATACACAGGCATTCCTGTTTGGTTAAAACGTCTAGATTGGGTGACGTCTAAACATGTTAATCCCTCGTGTCTTTTATACATGTACACACACACAAAGTCTGTGGAGGCGGACCGTGTGTTGATCTTGAATTGGCCGTTGTGCACGGCCTATTGTTGTACAATTTACGCTCCAGTGCTCACCCGGGAGTATTTAAACATATGAGGTTTCGGCAACAAAAATCAAACAAACACTTATGAAATTACTCATGCGAATCAGTATTTGTGGCATTTGGCTGTTTATCAGAAGTTGGTCGGAAATGTTGCCTTTTGCCAAAATCGAAATTTTCAGCAAAAATAATCCCGGTGCGAAGTGGTTAACCAAAACATGTGGCTGAATCGTATTGATAGCTAATGACTAATAAACAAAATGAGTTCTAACCTTCATGTTATCATTTTTGATGGTAGTATCCAACCTGCGACTTTGGCCTCGTTCATAATATGGCAAACTGCCTATTTCAACTTATTTTGGTTTTGATTGGGCCAAGCAAAAGTCTGAAACCAATGCTTGTGGAACTCCTGCTATATGTGCCTAGCCAATTTCTTTGAAACTTGTTGTTGAGTCTTTCTAGATATTCCATTCTATTCCTTGCAGTTGTATGTACATACATGTATTAAAAGGACACATCGTACACTGTACATTCAAAATAACAATGTGGCTTACTACTTGTAGCTACACGTGTAGCTGTTCACAGTGGTCACTATACATGTACTATGGCTCCATTACCATGATATCCTTGTATATGAAGCCTTGTCGCTTCCTAGCAGGTCTGAGGGCTGGGTACTCCTCCGTACTTGTTACTTTGATGCCCCAGACTTGCTTCCAGGCATTGTATAACATAGGGTAGGCTGGGTACACCCCAGAATGGTGTGGGGCCACGGCGTATGAGTCCTCCACAGGAATCTTATGACTCTGGAAGTGCAAAAGAGGAGTTACATGTCCTTCAACTTTTTGCGGGAACCTTATATCCTCTCAAATTCACTGCTGTGAGGATAAGGGGCTTCTAAGGGGCATCAAGTCCCATGTGCAATGATAATGACTAGGCTCTACCTTCCTCATTATGCAAATTCTTCAAAAACCTTTGATGGATTTTGAGGATCTGAAAGAGTTAGATTACCTCCAGCCTAAACTGAAAAAAGAAATCTTGTGACTCTTAAAAAGAAACGCCAATTAAAGAACAGAGTTCTGGAAATGCACCTACATGTAGGTTGTAACCTATTTATCTTTAATATATTATTCTGTATTGCAATTGTGTTTTAAGTCTTCTTGAGTTTTATAATAATGTGAATTTCTATTTTCATGAACAGAACAGGAATCAATAAAATTGCATTTTGCGATGAACAAAAATTGTGCAAGCATTTCTGGTGTTTTCTCAAAAAGGTGAGTGCGTACTGAGTAGACTTTCAATTTTATTCCATATGCACACAAAATGCAAATGGGACCATTTGCATTTTGTGTGACCAAAATTATTCAGGAGGTTAACTACTCAAACTGAGAGTCCAACAGGGCATGTTCATCACGTAGATCAAAGAGAAAATCAGCAATCCTCTGATAAGCAAAAGCTTGCCAATACAGTGGAACGCCGCTATAACGAACATCGTGGGATCCACAGAAAGTGTTCATAAAAACGATCGTTCGGTATAGCGATTTTGAACCGCCGGTACCCTCTTTTGACCAATAGTGAACTGGCATTTCTCACATCCAGCGGCCGCACGAGGAGTCGTCAGGAAACTTTAGCAACGGGTGGTTTTCCCTTTTATTCCTTGGGGAAATAATAGCCATCTATCGCTGTTCAACATTCAAACACGATGTAACTATGGGTCGTTTAATGTTCCGGAATTTAAAGCGGCCAAAATAGCGTTTTTGTACACTCCAGTAAATGTAATATGTTATAATCTGGTGCATAAGTAAGAACCCTCTAACTTCATGTTCAGGGTGAGTTATAGTGAGTCCTTACTCAAGTCCCAAAATATTGTTGAATATACATTGTAAGACTGAAGTTGAAGCCCTGGTCCTTTTGCAAATTCTTGAACATTTTCAGCAAACCTTTTTGTCCACACACTCAGATTTCAACCCATAATCAAAAGCAAAAATACTTGAACCATTGACTGGTTTCTAAGATGTTATTAAAACAAATCCACATTTAATTTCAATATTCTTGATGAACCTGGAGAAAGTACTGGATTGTTGACTTACTGCAAATAATTAGCTGTTTCGGTGTACACACCGAAACAGCTCTTGTTTCTGTTATTTTTTTTTTTCTCTTTTGTTTTTCAGACTTTTTTCTCATAGGATAACACGTGTTTTCGTTCTACAAGTCACTTTTGGCTTTTTTCCAAATCCGATCGACTTCAAACCTGGCACACACTTAGACCACCATCTGAAGATGTGTGCCGAAACTTTTCGTCATGCTGACGTCATCACGTGATTTATTATAGAATTTTGAATATTTAATTTTTCCCATAGACTTTGTACACAGAAATTTAAAAAAAAATGTCAATTTTCAGAGGGCATTTTCGACACTTTGCCAGTAATTCATTTACACCAATCTTTGTCCAAGCTATGACCCTAATTCAAACAACATTTTGCAATGATGACGTCATGATGACGTCATCCGGTGTTTATTGATAGGCAATTAAATTGTGACAATTTTAATATTTAAAAATGCATAAGAAATCAACCGTACGCGTCTGCAGCATTCTGTTGCCGGCAAGTGGTAGAGTAGGTTAAGGTCTTTATTTCATTCAGTGTGCGTGAAATCACGTGACCCTTGCTTCCGGTCGAAAAAGGCCAAAACCGGAAGTGGCTTATTATTTAAAAGTGGTAATAGATATGAACTTGCTTTTAACTGTGTTAGTCTCTTGGCTGAAAGTATTCTTCAAATCATCTACCGATGACGTCATGCAATCTTCGAGCGCCCTCTAGCGACAGGTTGAAAATTTTCAAAAATGTATTTTGAATAGATGTCTGTGGCGAAGTTTGTCGGAATCGCCTAAATATTGGTGTATATGATGACCTTGACCCACTTAAGACGTGTGCGAAGTTTAAGGTGTATGACGTCATCAGACCGGAAGTTATAATGAAAAGACCCTTTTTCCTTTGAAAATTTCTGAAAAATCAACCATGGCAGTTTTTATATTAGTTTTTACTTTAATTGTCTATTTAAGGGTAGGTCTAAAATATTTCAAAGCTTCGGGGCAATAAGCAAACTCGGACATGCCCTGCGCACGCTTAAAACTTCAGGTTGACAATAACTCTGCTTTAAAACATGCACAGTCCACAATGTACATGTACATGCACGTACGTTGTACATATCATATGTCAGTCAGCCCGCGCCAGCGCACGTGTTGCTGAGGTCAAATCCTGTCCACAGTGACCGTTTTAGCCGATTTCCGGCTAACTTTGACAGATTTTATGTTCATGCATTGTCAGGGACGTAGGATAGACACTTTTTGTATAGAATACGCATGTACATGTTCATTCGATCAGGATAAAACTCCTTTACGGCAGTCATTAATAAAACGGTCGAAACAGCTCAGTGTTTGTCCACAAACACATTTCTAGTTTTGCTTAAAGCACAAAAGGTTCAAGTAAAATTCCTACCTTTGCAAATCGGAAATTCTTTCTCATGTCTGCCACCAGCTGGCTCTGGTTGCTGAACATGTGGGGCTGGGCATGGTTCCACATGTGTGGAAACCAGGCAAACTTGTCAGCATGCATGACCAGTGCCTCGTCGCCTGCCTTCTCCTCCTCATTGCCACGTTTGAAGAACTTACCCGAGAAGCCCAGCTTGAAAGTGAAGCCTGGGATCTTATCAGCCAAGACCTGCTGCTCCAGGAGTAAGGCCTGCAACATCACATTATTTCAACTTTTTGTTTAATCAAAGGAACAATATTTAGGGGTGACAGTACTGACTTAAAATGAAGGAGCATTCAAGTCATGCAGTAACTCAGAACATTATACATGGTGGCTTGAGCGACCAGTCCATATGTGTGCACTTGGACCTGCAAAGGACCCTTCAAAGTGGTTTCAAAGGTTTCAAAAGGGCCTTTCAAAGGTTGATTATATGTGTTTTGAGAAAGACAAAATGTGCAATATTAACACGTTATCCACATACACAACTCAACTTTCATTTCAAATTTGGCAATGCAATTGCATTAGCTACATGTACAGCTTTTTTTGTTAGTTGACTTGCAGCACTAAATGTCTCCTTCTAAATCACACAAACTCAGGACATTAAAATGTCTCTGAATATGTCCGACTGGATGAAATCTATTTTCCCAACATTTTGATCTTCAAGGCACTGTATTTGCTGAAAATCCCCCAAATTCCCATGAATCCCATCTGTTCATACGTACCTCTACATCTTGCACGGTCATCCGAACTCCTTTCATCCCCACAAAAATATCATCTATGTCCACCTGTATGTATCTGTCTAGTGACTTTTGCAGGAGTCCCTGTGAGAGAAAGCTGACACTGTCCAGAAACAAAATATAGTGTAGCCAAAATCGGAAGTTGTTCCCGATGAATATTCTCTGAATGCCATCAAAGTGCCCCTGATCCATGAGCACCGTCGTGTGGAGGACCTCCGAGGGAGAGCGAAGTTGTAGGGAGTCCTGACTAAGAGTTTTGGCCTGGACCAGTGGCTTGTAGGACTCGTGATCAGTTCTGAAGACTGTCCAGTCATTGTAAGGTATGGTGCCATTGATGAACTGACCTGCTTTAGTAATGTGTAAGACATCGCTGGCGGATGGGTTGATTGTGAGGTCTTTGAGGCTCAGCCGTTGGTCCATGTAAACTGGGAATTCACCAACCTGTCTAGTGTATCCATTATCATCCTCTCTGACTACAGCAAAGGCAAGGATGCCTACATTGTATTTCCTGCAGTATTCATGTATGGTGTTCAGCAGGTATGGGTCCAGGCTGACATAGGAGTGAATACTCTGGAAGATGATGATTGAGAACTTGCCTGTCCGTTTGTGCTCCAGCCTGGGCCAGTGCCTCTCCTTGATCTGGACTGAGGTGAAGTCTATGTGGTTGGCTTCCAGGGCGCTGGTGAGATTGTAGGCAAAGACTGAATCAGAACGTTCTGTGATGATCAGCGCTGCAGGGATCAGATGTAGGTCATCCTGATCTGCAGCTGGTGAGTGCTTGCCCTGTCTGCGTCGGGCAGGGTGTCCCTCACTCCCACCCAGGGCCTGACTGGGGGGAAGCTTCAAGTGGAGATCCCGGTCGTGATCGCCCCGTAGTGGAGTCATCATGTTGTAACTCAAGAACCAGATGGAGAGAAGACTGAGCAGGACCAGCCCAAACATGATCTTCTTGATGCTGGTCATGCTGGAGTAACGGATCAGGTTCATCATAATCCCGGCAGATGGGAGCCACAGAACACAGACCTGGGATGGGCAAGATCCGTCATAAGACTCTACAAACATCCACTTGTCCAATCAACGTGTTCCAATCCATTCTATTCTGTGAAGTGACTGTCAACAAAATTAAAATTAAATGCTCAAGCACTGGAAACAGCTACTTTTTAATATCTACAATCCCCGCCAAAATGGTTGGGACACATGGAAATAATCTTAGCCTCCAATGGTCACCAACTCCCCGCTCCCCCGGTCAATGTTGTTCTCTTCAGCGGATGGAGTACACACCGCGCAATGAGAGACAACATTGAGCGGGGGCTGGGGGGTTGGGGGCCCAGCGAGATTTGGCCAGGATTGTAGCTCCATCACTACCATAAATGGTCTAGTCTGACTAAATTTGGACCCTACAAATCACCTTTATGAAATATTCAAAAATACCTCAGACAGTTTAGCTATTCCTATTGGTCGAGAGCCCGTCACGTGGCCGGTCTTAAACGGATGATAAAGACATGGCTAGCTGGTCTTAAACACTTTTCCAGTGTCACAATAAAATTTGGACTCCTAAAAATCCAGTGCCTCTTATCGTTTCATTGGTTGAACGTTCACAATCCTCACGAAGGCATGCGCAACACTACCAGGGAGTCAGAATTTTATAGTTCTAAATTCAAAACGCAACGCGCCAGGTGCGTTCTGCGCGACATCGCGCAGAACATGATACGCGCGCGTCAATCTCCATAAAAGGGTTGTTTACATCTTACTCGCCAGCTGAACACTCCATTATTTTGCAAGAGGGATGTTTCAAAAAGCATAAAGTGAATTTGTTGAACAAAATCAGGATGTTTTGAATGAATTATATGATTTTTTCTTACCGAAAAGGTATTTATGAATGGGAATAAATATGTGCTCCGTCGGTATTTATCACTCTGTTTAAGACCACTTAGAGTCTGGGTGCTGATAATTACCCTCGCCTCCGGCTCGGGTAATTATCAGCACCCAGACTCTAAGTGGTCTTAAACAGAGTGATAAAAACCTCCAGAGCACACATTTATTCCCTTATTATGACATGATCAGGCAATATAAGGGTCTGAGTGGATACTCTGTTTTGCTTCAACAATACCATGACTTCAGATTTCACCCCACCCCAAAAAAAGCTATAAAACTTTGCCCCATTAGTACAAATCAAAGTTTAAGATAGTGGTACTAAGGTTAACTTTAAGTATGTGATTTAAAGATTTGCAGAAAATGTGAAATGTCCTTGTTTTTTTCTGATTGCTGTCATTCGTTTTCATTCCCCATGGTTTTGGAATGACAGAAAGCACTGTCATGTAGAATGTCCCCAGTGTTGATGTGATCTTGAAGAATGTTAACTTATCACAGACAAAGTCTTTTGAAATAAAGTGTGAAATTGTTGCATCATGGATGCATATCGATAATGATATCTAGTCTTGTTCTTACCCCATACAATGCATTCCAAACAACATATTAAGGAGTGGGGAAAGTTAATTAGCATAGATATAAACTTAGTCCATGGGATGAGAGGCCGAAAACGCTTTAGTTTTCGAGATACGCGATCTGGTCCGCCAAATTTTATAAAACTTTCCAGACAGATAGATTATGATGTACCATATATCTAAAAAACTTTGTTCCCCGATCCACAGTTTGTTTGGGAATGAGAAAATCTGGGATAAAAATGCCGAAAATTTTGCATGAGAAAAAACTTAAGAAACAGCGCCCTCTGTTGACACAGTCAGAAACCTTTTCGCACGCAATGAGTGCTTGCCAGATAATACCAGTACATCTTTCAAGTTCCATAATAAGATCATTACAGATCAAATACGTCTTAGCCGTTGCCGAATGGCAGCATTCAGAAATCGAATTTGTCATGTAAAAATCAATTAGACGAATTTAATTTCTGACTAACATTTGGCGACAAACTCAGACTCTCAACAGAGCAGCTAGATGAAGCATGTAAGAAATGGGGCATGAAAATTAATGGAGCGAAATGTAGAATCTTATCCCCATCAGATGAAACAATCACTCTGGATGGGATACAGTTAGACTCCACGAGTAAATTTGTGTTCCTCGGAAGCATGGTACCAGGCAGCTCTGAAGACATAGAAAGAAGAATTTCCCTAGCCTCATCAGCATTCGGGAGACTGAAAACACCAATCTGGAATAACCGAAACATCAGTACCCCCTTAAAGGTACGACTGTTCCAAGTACTCATCCTTCCTATCGCGACATACGCTGCAGAAACATGGACCCTCAAAGCAGAAGACCAGCGTAAGCTGGAGTCCTTCGAAATGCGCTGTCTGAGAGCTATCCTCGGAGTGACTCTCCGAGATCGACACACCAACATCACAGTGCGGGAACAGCTGAAAGTGAAACTCACGATCACAGAAGTCATCAGGCGAAAGCGGTTGAAGTGGTTTGGCCATGTAGCAAGAAGGCCACCAGACAGCTATGTCGCTAGAGCATACCGGCAGGACTTCTTGAACCCAAGACCTCGTGGCAGACCTCCAAAGAAGTGGATCTCACAAATTCCTATAGCAACAGCCGAACGCCGAGCATCTCACCGTGAGGGCATTCGTGGTTGTCTACAACAGGGGAGCGCAAGGGTCCCATGGGACTGAGCATTTAAGTCAAGTAAGTCAAGTAACATTTGGCGTAGACTAGACGAAATCAATACCTCGGTACAAAAACGTATACTTCTTCTTTGAATTTGCTTTAGTGAACTGAATTTTAAATTGTCACACAAAAGACGAAATTAAACGTTGGAAGTGCACTAAATCGATGGTGATGGATGAATATGAATATTAGAAAAGGTGAATTCAAATAATAAACGTTATAAATTAGCCGGGAAAACCTATATAATCTAATTTAATTCATTTATGTATTTATATTCTTTTTTGGGAGGGGGGTATTTAAACCTGCACAGACTGTTGTTACCCACACAAAAAGAGTGGTGTTTAGATTACATAAGTTTGTTCAATCTGTACTGAATGAGCATTACTCGTGTATTTTCAACTAACCAAACGAGCTAAATGACCACATGTATACATTACAGGCCGATTAGATAATTGTTGTATAACATATCAAAAGTCTCATTAAATTGTTTGCAAACTTTTTTAAGAAGAGAAAATAAATTTATATTCCCCTTTTTGGAAGCTGTGAGTGGCAGCATTACAACTGCAATTTGTTTCAACCGAAACCGTTTTACCGTTTTAATTATTTTGAACATTGTTTTAAGAACCGATTCATCATTGCCCGTCCATTCCGTGAAACCACAAATAACCCAAACGGCTCACCGCTTCCTTTTTTGAGGCTGCATCAAATTTGTATTACTTTTTTTAATTTTAGGCATAACATTTTTTAAAGATGTTTCAGAAGTTCAGATGCTCCACCAGATGCCACACACTTCTATTTTTTTTTAAAACATGTTACTGTGAGATAACAGTTCACAAAATATTATTCTGAACTGTGGTTTAACCATCAAATTGATGTTTAGCTAAATACCTAACAATGTTAACATTCGATCTTAAATTTATAACGTGATCATTTCATGTTGGACAAAACTGTAACGGTGATATATTTGGTGATATATATGAGGTCCGATGAAAAAATAACAAAAATCTAGAACTATATAATATGAAAGCAGTGTCATCGAGACTACATGTATATATAGGAAGCTAGAAGAACTCATTGGCCGAGTTTGGGCGGGTCTTAATTGTTCTTGACACGGGACCGGGTATATCATTCTTGCAAACAACGACGGATAGGTGCATGGTGCGAGATCCTGTTCCGAGTGCAGTGTTCGTGGGTCGTGTTCCTGACGTTCGAGCGCGAGAACAATAAATACTCGCATCAGACCGCCCGAACTCGGAGTCGGACGGCCATTGCGTGAGAAAAGGTTTCTGAGTGTGTCAGTAGGGGGCGCTGTTTCTTATGTTTTTTCTCATGTAGGATTTTCGGAGTTTTCATCCCCAATTTTCTCATTCCCAAACAAACTGTGGATCAGGGAACAAATTTTTTTCGATATGGTACACCATAATCTACATGTCTGTGAGGTTTTATAAAATTCGGCGAACCAGACCGCGTGGCGAGCGAAAAAAGGCCTCGTCCCAAGGACCAATTGGTGAAATGACCAAATTGATATGCACCCTATGGCAATGATTTTGAACTTGATCTCAAAAAGATGCTGTCTGCGATCAATTTAAATTCTTCGAGATCACAGCAGCACTAACATGAGTGCTTTCTAATCGAGAATGAATGGTATCTTTTGATACAATGAGTATGACTCTGAGTAAGTAGTCTATGGTTTTTTTTTATCTGCATGCTGCAAGGTTCTGAAAGGTTCAGAAGGTTCTTCAAGTTCTGCAAAAATACCCACACCCTTTTCCATTCCTTTCCCAAAATTGTGGAGTTTAGGATTTTTTGAATTTTGGAACAGTATTTTGGGAGAAAATGTGACTTTCTGACCTGATATTTAAGGATGTGACATTTACACATTTCAATGTTTAAACGAAACAAATTATGAATCCATTTACAAATTTTCTAAAACGTTTAAAACGAAACCCTCGTTCACGCAATCTTCCTTTGACTTGAACATGTAGCAAATAACCATGTTTTCAAACCTATTTAATTTACAAAACCTTAGAAGTACCGCAGCACTTGATCACATTCGGGTGCATGTAGTTAAGTTTTTACTTTTTCAATGACTACTACGTTATTTATAATTTCAATCACTGTAGATTGATCATGTCAGTCATGCCAGTCAGCAGACATAATGGACAGGTGTCAGCCTTTGTGAAAAGCTAAATGTTTAAACATTTAAATGGTTCTTATAATATTTGCTAAACATTTACAAAATTAAATGCAAAGTCACATCCTTACTGATATTCCAGTAGCAGCCGTGCTAATCGACACATTCACACAGCTGTTGCCAATTTTGTTTTCAGTGTGTGCATTTGTCGCTGAGGTCCCTGTCACTGTTTTTACCCCATAGTTTCCTTCAAAAATCAAAACCCTGCCCTCTTTCCACAAAATTAATCCTGCAGATATTAACACGGTGTCATTGTCATCTACTTACATGTACATGTAGGTGAGTCCAAAAAGTT